GATGCGTTTGACAAAATATATTAGTTTAACATGGGCTTTCAGTGCGTTCCAGGCATTTGCATGCGTTTTTGATGCGTTTGCAGATCCAGAGCAGATCCCGAGCAGGTAAAATAGGGCCTACTGCAGTCGTTTTACCTGCTCTGGGCCTGCTCTGGATCTGCACGCTGCGATGTGAACTGGAGCTAAAAATACCATAGGAATACATTGGACGCAGTTTGGATCCGGTCTGCACCTGCTCTGCTGCGCGCTTGGTGTGAACTAGCCCTGAGTTGCACATGCAGCAGCACGCAGCTACACGCGCCAGCTGTTCCCCCAGGGTGCAGGTTTCTGCATGGACATGCACGTCCATGTGAATGAATGCTTTTCCTTCCCAGAATGCCTTTCATACGGTGCCCGAATGCCTGACACTTCCAAACACTGGGATAGTGTGAATTGTTTCGACGTGGAAATCTACCTTTGTTTGTTTGAAAAGTACTGTACATGGCTCCCGGCCAGTATCCACCCTTACTAAACACTATGACCTCTTTGAGGAGAAATTGTGGATTCTCAAACCATGCAATATTTCAGCTTTGGTCCAAGAACCAAGCTTCGTCAGGTTTACAAAGAATATCAGACCAAAAAAAAATGGTTAAACAAACTTTATTTTTTCTCAAAGCAATCTAACTTGGCACAAAGTAATTCTTTGCATGATCTATCATCATTTCATTCCACTTATTACAGTAGAATTCCAGGGAAGCATCTAAATACAACATTGAAATACATTAATGTAAACTGGAAACCTGCCAAAAGATTTGCAATTCTGGTTAGTCAGCCTTGATGGCATATTCCCTCCAGCTTAGATACAGGTGCATTTTAAAGCCTGTATAAAAATGCATAACAATGCAGAATGCTGTGGCGTGAAAGGGCCACGTAGAAAACAATTGTTTTCTGTGCACACTTGTGGGGATTGGCATTGATCGGTGGGACAAAAAAAACAATCTCTGCTATTGGTGTGAATGAGTCCTGAATGTTATGGAAGCCTGCTGTCTCTACCCAATTTACATTACAAACAATGGGCAAATTGCCATACAGATAGTAGCACTGATTGCTTGCCACTACTTTCTTCTTATCAGCATTCAACCAAAGTATCTGCGGCCCTCACAGGGGCCGTTCATGCCAGCCTGTGTGAACTAGCTAGTGTTTTAGAGGATGGGCTAGTGCAGGGGTGTCAAACTCAATTTCATCGCGGGCCGCATCAGCATTATGGTTGCCCTCAAAAGGGCCGATTGTACCTGTAAGACTATATAAATGCATCTAGTCTTTATTATATTAAATAATTGCCTCTGCATTCGATTATTATTACTGGTTTTCTTAATAACTAGCTCTAAGTAGAAGTCTAGGAAAAATAATGGCAATTAGTGTAATAGTGCGGACTCTCAGGTGGGTGTGTAGGTTCTATGGTGAGCTGTGTGGAATCTCAGGTTGGCTGTGCAGGTTCTATGGTGGGCTGTACAGGTTCTACGGTGGGCTGTGCGGATTCTCAGGTGGCTGTGCAGGGTCTATGCTGGGCTGTGGAAGGTGCAGGGGGCGTGGATCAAGGAAGGAGGAGATTTGCTGCCGGCGAGATTCACAGGAAGGCTGTCGGGATCTTGCTGACAACCTCAGCAGACTTCCTGTGAAGCCTGGTGCCTGTTTTCAGTGCCGGGTTCAGTTTAAAAATTTAAAGCTGCAGGAGAGGTGTGAGGGCCACACGAAATGGCCTGGTGTGCCAGATTTGGCCCACGGGCCTTGTGTTTGACACATGTGGGATAGTGTATTGTGGCACACTGCCAGAGCCTTCACATTTGTTTTCTGACCAATGAGAAGCACTTCTTAGCAACACTTTTTCTGTAGATGTTCCTGGATTTAGCATTGATGTGCATTTAGCTGCTTAAAACCAGACTAAACGGTCCAGGGATGGAGAAAATTATTGATGGGGTAAACTGAGCTAGACTGAATACACCTAGATGCTGCTGAACATCTGGGTGTTCATTTAGCCATAGAAGAAATTTACATGTTTCAAGATGCATTTAGAAATCCAAATGCACATGGACTCTTGTATTTTATTTCCAGTGCGCATGAGGTCTTACAGGAAAATAAATAAATACAAATTGCAGAATGTTATATATCCAGCTACAGAATATAATGTTTTCTCAAATAAAGCTGCATGTTTTCACATTTTTGTAGCATCCTGTAAGCAAGAGTGCTTATTTAAATGTAGTTGTCAGATTGTAATCAGTCCGATGCTGATGTATAGTGTATGCTCATTTGGTTTCCCCATCTGCTGCGGGGTGTATCCAAATCTTTAATCAGAAAAAAGGTGGCAGCTATGTCTCATAAGTAAAAGGTAACGGTCTTTCATCACAAGAGAGTAAATGAGAAAACTTCAGAACACAAATATGGGATCTGCTATTGCTCACTTGTTTTTGAAGGTGCAAGGTCCAGAGCAGTCATGTTTCAGATAAGCCGACACGTGATTGACTAAATGCAAGTCAGGGACTAAAGGTGGCCATACATTGTTAGATTTACACTCGGAAATTGTATACGAACGATGTATCGAACGCAAATCAAAAGGTTTATGGCATAGCATCGATTTTTGTTTTTGCCTATGTGAACTAACTTTTTTTTTACGGTCAGCTTGGAAAATGTTTCTCTAACCGAACGAAATTCGATGAATGAGTGGGGTTTTTGTTCGTCCAAAATCTCCCCAAGAACACAGCAGGGACTAAGGGCCCAGACACACCATAAAGAGTGCGTTCCAGAGCGTACGGCCTCTGAAACGCACTGGAATGCAACCCGGCCGGCTCACTTTGTTTTGGGGCAGGTGGGGGCGTGGTGGTGCATTGAAGTCAATGGCACCGCAGCCACACCCCCGGTCCGCAGTGCGATCGTCGGCACCCAAAGGCGTGACACATTAGTGCCGGTGTTCCGGTCCAGTGCCATCTGCAAAAATGCTGCATGTACTACTTTTTGCAGATCGTACTTGACCAGAATCAAAACAAAGTGAGCCGGCCAGGTTGCGTTCCAGAGACTGAACACTCTGGAACGCACTCTTTATGGTGTGACTAGGCCCTTAAGGTGGCCAATGGAAAACTGCCTAGGTCAAATGAATATTTCCGTCATTTGTCAAAAACCGGTTGGTTATTATGGATAACGAACGATTTCTGAAATCCATATTTGAATATGCTTAATGGTGAATTCTAGGTATAATCGAATGAGGGTTCGTGGCAGAAACTAAACCTTTCAAACGAAAAATCATTCAATGTATGGGCAGCTTAAGGCACCAATCATGTTCCCAAATGTTTATACAGGCACAACGCCTTACTTCAAGCGAATATATCACCGGGAAAAGACTGCATGGACATAAAGCAGTTTACTTATGAAAGTTACATGTTGCTGTAAACTCTGTGTGCTTCTGGATTAAACTTAAAATGCAATCAAAAATCCACTTTGTGCACAGCTGTGTTAAAAAATTAGCTGACATAGTATAAAACGTTCATGTTCCACTGATAATTACTCATCATTGAAAAGGTAAGAGCAAATCCTGCCTTATTTCAGTCTGTTGTTCAAAACGATGATTGTGCTCCACCTCTTACAGACACACGTTCACAGCACAACGTGCATAGAGACACATGTGCATTGACGCACGTTTTTCACATGCTGCCCTGCATTTTACTGCACTTTGAAAAGCAATTTGACATGCTTTTTTTCTGTACAGGCTACATCAAAGGTCAAAATGCTACTATTATTATTATTATTATTATAGGCACTTTGCATTGATATGTGTTTTTGTGTTACAGATATGCTGCATTTTTATTATGCAACATGCATGATTGGTGCAAACAGGGTACATAGAAAACAACTGTTTCCTAAGTGTCCTTTTGTTGAACCAGTGATCAACACAGCACAATGGCATGGTGTGAGCGAGCCCTTAGTCTCAAGGTTGTGTACATTCACAAGATAATTAGACAGCTAGATTGATTTCTAGCTACAAACTGGCACCTTTTTGGCAGATTTGTATCCAAACTCTTAGTACAGGAGCAGAATTGTGCATTTTTGCTTCATAGACTTTTAAATGGGAGCACTAGAAAAACGCTTTTTGAAGAGTTCCCATTATGTCTATTGGACGAAATACGCATGTTACAGCCCCACAAGAAGTCCATTTACTGTTTCAAGCTTCCTAAGGACAAGCAACACAATGCTCAGGTGTAAACAGTCCTTTTAAGATTGATGCGATTCTTCATCTTGAGCGTTGTTGTGCTTCAGAAGCGTCTTAGGTATAAATGGGGCCACAATGCACCACAGGGCAGTGGTAGGCACATCCGATAATTCATATTATTGACAACACGATTGCAATCTAACAAATAAGGCAACTTAGTAGTAATATTTTATAATACTTATTAAAGCCCCTTATATTGTTCGTTCTTACCATACGTAAATTTGCCTGCTAAATTTGGCT